TTAGTCACTTTCTATGCTTTAGGTGGACCCAGGGCGTCACAAACAATGCTGTTCAATTTATAAACAATCAAACTATCTGCTTAAAGTCGGGCAACTATCTGAGCTTTATTCGTTTAACTGGAGAGACTTCAACATATCACTTTGACAGTGCAAATGAAACCGTATTAGCTACGCACCCTATTAATCCTGTGCTGGCTATTGCTGAAACAAATATAAGCGCTGGAAAAATAGTTCTAATCACCTTTCCGAGCTTTCAGACAAAATTCCTAGGCAGTAAGTTTTAATGTTGTGAGGAAGCAAACAACAAATTAGGAACAAGAAACACCCAAGTTCTCCATCTTACCTTTTCGTACCAAAACTTTCTTGCGTGTATTACTTCAATAAGGGAAAATATCCTTTCCCTATGGAACTACGCAAAAGCCGAGCTACTCATAGAAGCACACTTAAACTTTGTCTGTCCAGACATTTTTGGATTTTGTCCAACCAACGAAAACAAAATTATCGGAGCCACTGAAAGATTTATTTATGCATGGACGTTAGAATCCTATGGAGAAAATCATCATTTATCCTGCAAGTACGCGCTTACAAATAGTGTGAAGCTTTCAGTGAAACCGCTGTTCCTCGTATTGATGCACGCGTTGGGTTTTATGAAGAGCCACAAGATAATTCACCGCTTGAGCTGATTGGGCAGGAAGAAAATCCCAACCTCTATCAACCCATGAGGGAGATTATTTCAGGTAATTTGCTCCATATAAAATTAGGCAATGTCGTAATTTAGGCGCTTTAAGAGAAGCAAATGATGAACTGCAGAATTATAAGGATAACGCGAAACGTATGAAGTCTATAAGTTTGACATGGACTAAGGAAGGATTTGCCATATTTGGTTGTAGGAGTGGCAGCATTTTTATGGTAGGTGAATAATGTTATCATGATCACCACTTTGTCTTGCAGGTTGATCTTGCATCCTTGGCTACCGGTGTTATTTTTAATCCAAATTTACAGAACACTAATGATTTTAATGCAAAACAACTGGAAAATGATGAGAAAATAGTGCTAAAGTCGGGTGATGTGGATTATCTAATTTACACATTGGATGGAATTGTGTGTGGTGGAGCAGATGGTCGATTGAGGTGTTTAAACTGCTTAAAAAGTAAAAATGATGACCATCCATCGGTTGGATTAGTTGCACCAACTTCTCTGGCCATTCGAAATCTGTCCTCAAATTTCCTCAGCACTATACAACAAATGGCTCTTGCACAAATTTACTTTTTGGATGAAGAGGTGTTTGTCGCCCTTAAAAGTGATCACAATGCCATACTCTACATTACTGCGTGTCCAAGTTACCAGAATTTTGCAATTCTTCGCAAATCGGGTCTGGTTCAAATTTTTCAGCGTGACGTAAGCAAAGAAGTGAACCCATCCCTTCTTCTCCAGCCAATAAAGGAGGTGAGGACGAATGTGTCACCTTTTAATGGTATATGTGGGATGAATATTGAGGATGACACCTACTTTGTGGTGAGTAAATTTCGATGCACAGTATGATTTCGCGTGCTATAAAGTTAACGTCCTGGTGCGGTAAATATTCCAGCGCGAGAATAATTTTAAATATGAGTCTTTAGTAAATGGATGACATTTGTTATGTGTAAAGCTGAAATTGGAGGAATGAGGCCCCACACAGGGGTCCTTGTAATAGCACCGGTTGCACTGTAGTTGACTTAAAAATGCCAACTTGATATAATTCTGTAGACTTGTAACGCGATCGGACAAGTTGTACTTTGGTGTGCTGAGAGAGGCGAACAAGTGTGTTGTCTGGAATTTTCCAGTGCTGTAAGTGCTTCGCAGCATGTATACTCTCCTACAACTATGTTAAACACACCTACATGTCCAAATAAATTCATATTTGTTAAGGGATAGGAGTCTTGTTATTGTATAGGTGACTTGTATGAGGGTTATTCCTGGATTGCCGCTGGCTGCGGTTGGTCTCCAAAATGGTTCGATGTGTGTTGTCTACTGGGTGGATCGTCGTACGCCTCGAATCATGGCAACACGCCAAATCTTCCAGTCAGCTATTGAAGAAATGTAGTAGGTTCCTTCATGCTAATCTTGAAACATTCACATTATTCATAAGGACACAAAATTGATGCGTGAATGATGAATCTCAAATATTTTAAGCCCCTAAAATCGTTTACCAGGTGCGCAGGTTGCCTGTCAAAATATTTTCTTAGTGCATATGCAAGGGTATAGGGAATAAAAGAATATGTGACATTAACCAAATCAATTCATAAATCACCTTTTGCTTTGTTACA